GACTGTTTGAGGTTGTGGACAGGTGTCTTTTATACTGATAACAAGTTCAAACAGGTGCCATTGATACAGGTAATGAGTGCAGCACAGAGGAGCCTCTTAAAGAAGAAGGTACAGGTCTGTGAGAGCCAGAAATCTTGCTTTGTTTGTAGGGGACCAAATACTTATTTTCCACCATAATTTTTGCAAATAAATTCTTTCTAAATCAGCCAATGTGATTGTCTGGATTTGTTTTTTCTCATTTTGTCTCTCATAGTTGAGGTCTCCCTATGATGCCTATTACAGGCCTCTCTCATCTTTGTAAGTGGGAGAACTTGCACAATTGGTGGTGACTAAATACTTTTTTGCCCCACTGTGTGTATATAATATATATATATATATATGTGTGTGTATATATATAATGTGTTTTATGTGTTTATATATAATATAATATATGTGTGTGTATATATATACAGTGGGATCGAAAGTTTGGGCACCCCAGCTAAAAAATTTGTATTACTGTGCATAAAGAAGCCAAGGAAAGATGGAAAAATCTCCAAAAGGCATCAAATTACAGATTAGACATTCTTATAATATGTCAACAAAAGTTAGATTTTATTTCCATCATTTACACTTTTCAAAATAACAGAAAACAAAAAAATGGCGTCTGCAAAAGTTTGGGCCCCCTGCAGAGTTAATATCTTGTACTGCCCCCTTTGGCAAGTATCACAGCTTGTAAACGCTTTTTGGTAGCCAGCCAAGAGTCTTTCAATTCTTGTTTGAGGTATCTTTGCCCATTCTTCCTTACAAAAGTCTTCCAGTTCTTTGAGATTTCTGGGCTGTCTGTCACGCACTGCTCTTTTTAGGTCTATCCATAGATTTTCAATGATGTTGAGGTCAGGAGATTGTGAAGGCCATGGCAAAACCTTCAGTTTACAACTTCAAAAAATTGTGCAAAATTAATAAAGTGAAAAATGTGAACACTGTGTTAAAACCGTGAAAGTGCGTCACTCTGTGAATACAATAATCCAAGTGACCATACAGTGTAAGGCATATATGCCCTTACCAAAAATGTATCAAACGCCTTATCAGTATTGCAGAGAGCGGCAGCACACTTTCACACCACTTTCCTCCAATCCTGAAAATGTACTCCTTAAGATGTCATCCACCACATTTTCCTGAGTGTCATCATGGCTTTAACCATTTGACGCCCGGCCAATAGCCGTATGGCGTCCGGAAAAATGCACTAGCTTTCCGGGAGGCCGCCATTTGGCGTCCTCCCGCACATGCGCAGTTCGCGCACAGCAGCGTGATCTGTCACCGGCCGTGTACTGCGGACACAGCCGATGACAGATCTGAGTATCGGCCTCGTTGCCGGTACCATGTGACCTGCTGTGACCAATGACAGCAGGTCACATGACAGTTGTATACAATGGATGGCTTCATTCATGCCATCCATTGTATATTAGTGTCTAGCTGTGAATGGTCACAGCAGGTCACATGCACATGTCATGTGATTAGCTGTGGCCAAATCACAGCTAAGCAAAAAAAAAAAAAAAAAAAAACCTGAATGAATCGATGTCATTCAGGTAAATGCTTGCTTATAGCAAAGTAATTCTTTGCTATAAGCAAATGGTGTAAAAAAAAAAAAAAAACTGATCACTTCCCCAAAGTAGTACAATGTTACTATGGTAACATTGTACTACTTTGCTCATAGTGAAATATGAAAACAAAATCTTAAAAAAAAGAAAAAAAAAGTAATAAATTTTAAATTAAAAAAAATTAAAAAAATATATATATATATATTTTTTCCCACTGTCACCAGTCAGTGTCCCTGATCACCACCATGCCAGTTATATGATGACGCTGTAGTGCACTGGTGACAGTATGTAAAAAAAAAAAATAGTGAAAATTATTTTTTTTATTTTTTCATTTTCCGAAAAATTATGACAAAAAAAAAATACAACTTCAAAAAACTCGCCATGCCTCTTATGAAGTACGTCGTACCGTCCTGACATTTGGGGGATATCTGTACTGTCCTGACATTTGGGGGATATCTGTACTCTCCTGACATTTGGGGGATATCTGTACGCCTGACATTTGGGGGATATCTGTACTCCTGACATTTGGGGGATATTTGTACTCCTGACATTTGGGGGATATCTGTACCCTCCTGACATTTGGGGGATATCTGTACCCTCCTGACATTTGGGGGATATCTGTACTCTCCTGACATTTGGGGGATATCTGTACTCTCCTGACATTTGGGGGATATCTGTACTCTCCTGACATTTGGGGGATATCTGTACTCTCCTGACATTTGGGGGATATCTGTACTCTCCTGACATTTGGGGGATATCTGTACTCTCCTGACATTTGGGGGATATCTGTACCGTCCTGACATTTGGGGGATATCTGTACCGTCCTGACATTTGGGGGATATCTGTACCGTCCTGACATTTGGGGGATATCTGTACCGTCCTGACATTTGGGGGATATCTGTACCGTCCTGACATTTGGGGGATATCTGTACCGTCCTGACATTTGGGGATATCTGTACCGTCCTGACATTTGGGGGATATCTGTACCCTCCTGACATTTGGGGGATATCTGTACCCTTGACATTTGGGGGATATCTGTACCCTCCTGACATTTGGGGTTCTGACATTTGGGGGATATCTGTACTGTCCTGACATTCTTGGACCTCAAGAAATTAGATTGGCTGTCGGTACTTCAGGACTGATCAATATTCAGATCTATACCATAGTTTGTGAACTCTATAACTTTCCTACAAAACTAAATAATACATCCTAATTTGGGTTATTTTCACCAAAGACATGTAGCAGAATACATCTCGGCCTAAATTTATGAAGAACAATTATTTATTTGCAAACTTATAACAGAAACAAAGAAAAACGTTTTTTTTTTCAAAATTTTCGGTCTTTTTTTGTTAATTTAGCAAAAAATAAAAACCCCAGCGGTGATTAAATACCACCAAAAGAAAGCTCTAGTTGTGTGAAGAAAATGATAAAATTTTAGTTTGGGTACAATGTTGTGATGACCGCGCAATTGTCATTCAAAGCGTGAGAGCGCTGAAACCTGAAAAATGGCCTGGGCAGGAAGGGGGTAAAATTACCCGGTATGGAAGAGGTTAAGGAAGTACCCCATAGAACTCCATTCCATAGACCATTCCAGATGTTTTTTTTCAGTTCACCCTAAACTAAAAAGAAGAAAAAGTTTTGTCTGGTGTTGGGCTTATCAGCTAAATATCTGGCAGCTCCTCGGCCCCCGACTTTCCAGCTCTCTGCTGGTTCCAGGGGCATCCTCCTCCTCACTTACACAGAGACTTCACTGTCCTGGAAGCAGGATCCAGCCCATATCACCCCCACCTTCCCCAATCAGAGATCTGTTTTTATCCGCTCCATGCCTCTGCACATCTGTGTCCCCGAATCCTTTTTATTTATTTCAGGTACTTATATAGCGCCGTCAATTTACGTAGCGCTTTACATATATATTGTACATTCACATCAGTCCCTAACCCCCTTGGGTGTAGGTCCCTAACCCTCAAGGGTGTACAATCTAAGGTCCCTAACCCTCAAGGGGTGTACAATCTAAGGTCCCTAACCCTCGGGGTGTACAATCTAAGGTCCCTAACCCTAAGGTCCCTAACCCTCTAGGGGTGTACAATCTAAGGTCCCTAACCCTCAAGGGGCGTACAATCTAAGATCCCTAACCCTCAAGGGGTGTACAATCTAAGGTCCCTAACCCTCAAGGGGCACAATCTAAGGTCCCTAACCCTCAAGGGGTGTACAATCTAAGGTCCCTAACCCTCAAGGGCCAATCTAAGGTCCCTAACCCTCAAGGGGCGTACAATCTAAGGTCCCTAACCCTCATGGGGCTTTGGAGTCCCTGGGAGGAAACCGGGCGTACAATCTGAGGAAACCCTGCAAGGGGCGTACAATCTAAGGTCCCTAACCCTCAAGGGGCGTACAATCAAGGTCCCTAACTCAAGGGTGGTACAATCTAAGGTCCCTAACCCTCAAGGGGCGTTACAATCTAAGGTCCCTAACCCTCAAGGGGGCGTACAATCTAAGGTCCCTAACTCACATTCATACATACACATACTAGGGACAATGTAGACAGGAGCTAGTTCACCTCCCAGCATGTCTTTGGAATGTGGGAGGAAACCTACGCAGGCACAGGGAGAACATGCAAACTCCAGGCAGGTGGTTGCCGTGGTTGGGATTTTTAAACCAATAACGAGACTTTTTTGACTTTCTCAGATCTGCGGCACCCAAGATGAAACGTGTTCCCGGATGAGCAAGGACAGGGATGGCCAGAGTCCCGGGAACAAACAAGGAAGACAGCGACCCCCCCGGAGAGGTGGTGGATGAGTTCACCTTCCCTGGAGATCAACAACAACTGCTGAAGGATAGTCAAGCCCAAGTAAAGATCTTGTTCCCGGTGGTGTTTACAGTATTGCAGTCGTTGGAAACTGTCAACTATGACCGCAGAGCCGAGCAGAAGTTGCCGGGGAGAATATGGGTGCAGCTCAAAGGCAAACAGGAGGCCGTGCACAAAGCCAAGGTAGGGCGGCGAGATAGGGTCACCTCTTCCATGCTGGAACGAATTGTAATTGGTAAAATTCACAATCGATGCGTTTTAGTGGTTTCAGGTTGGATATGTATTTTTATTACGTCATAAACATACATATCATTGTTACATAGTTAGTCTGGCTGAAAAAAGACAAAAGTCCATCCAGTTCAACCATTAGTCCTCATGCACACTTGGCGCTTTTATAGCGGCTGTTTTTGGCGTTTGATATTTTTTTTTCTACAGTCGATATACCACCCAGCATGTTATCCTATGTGTCCGTACACACACAGGCTGTAATTATTTATTTCAGGTACTTATATAGCGCCATCAATGTACGCAGCACTTTACATATATATTGTACATTCACATCAGTCCCTAACCCTCAAGGGGTGTACAATCTAAGGTCCCTAACTCTCAAGGGGTGTACAATCTAAGGTCCCTAACCCTCAAGGGGTGTACAATCTAAGGTCCCTAACCCTCAAGGGCGTACAATCTAAGGTCCCTAACCCTCAAGGGGTGTACAATCTAAGGTCCATAACCCTCAAGGGGTGTACAATCTAAGGTCCCTAACCCTCAAGGGGTGTACAATCTAAGGTCCCTAACCCTCAAGGGGCGTACAATCTAAGGTCCTTAACCCTCAAGGGGGGTACAATCTAAGGTCCCTAACCCTCAAGGGGCGTGCAATCTAAGGTCCCTAACCCTCAAGGGGCGTACAATCTAAGGTCCCTAACCCTCAAGGGGCGTACAATCTAAGGTCCCTAACCCTCAAGGGGCGTACAATCTAAGGTCCCTAACCCTCAAGGGGTGTACAATCTAAGGTCCCTAACCCTCAAGGGGTGTACAATCTAAGGTCCCTAACCCTCAAGGGGTGTACAATCTAAGGTCCCTAACCCTCAAGGGGTGTACAATCTAAGGTCCCTAACCCTCAAGGGGTGTACAATCTAAGGTCCCTAACCCTCAAGGGGCGTACAATCTAAGGTCCTTAACCCTCAAGGGGGGTACAATCTAAGGTCCCTAACCCTCAAGGGGGGTACAATCTAAGGTCCCTAACCCTCAAGGGGCGTGCAATCTAAGGTCCCTATCCCTCAAGGGGCGTGCAATCTAAGGTCCCTATCCCTCAAGGGGCGTGCAATCTAAGGTCCCTATCCCTCAAGGGACGTGCAATCTAAGGTCCCTAACTCACATTCATACATACACATACTAGGGACAATTTAGACAGGATCCAATTCACCTACCAGCATGTCTTTGGAGTGTAAGAGGAAACCGGAGAACCTGGAGGAAACCCACGCAGGCACAGGGAGAACATGCAAACTCCAGCCAGGTGGTGCCGTGGTTGGGATTCGAACCAACGACCCTAGTATTGCCAGGCGGAAGTGCTAACCATTTATCCACTGTGCTGCCCAAAGTAATCAATGTTTTTTGCCGTTTCTTCCTACAGCCAGTAAACCCCCCAGCATGTTATCCTATGTCTCCGTACACACATAGACTGGAATCAACGTTTTTTTGGGTGGGACGTTTTTTGGCAGAAAAAAACCCCCCAAATTAGTGTGTTTCTAGAGGAGTTTTTTTTAGCTGTAAAATCGCTCTAGCGCGGTAAAACGCCGCAAACCGGCGTTTTTGGACTTTTTTTTGACCAAAAAAAAAATAATCGCCACAAAACAGCACCGCGTTTTAGGTGCCATTGACAATAATAGTTATATAGTTAGTCTGGCTGAAAAAAGTCCATCCAGTTCAACCATTAAAAAAAAAAAAAAGTTATAATCCGACACCCACAGTTGATCCAGAGGAAGGCAAAAAAAATCCAGCAAAGCACGATCCAGTTTGCTCCTGTAGGGACTGGAATCAGCGTTTTTTGGTCTTTGCCGTTTTTTTTCTACAGCCAGTAAACCCCCCCAGCATGTTATCCTATGTCTCCGTACACACACAGACTGGAATCAACGTTTTTTGGGTGGGACGTTTTTTGGCAGAAAAAAAACCCCCAAACTAGTGTGTTTCTAGAGGAGTTTTTTTTTAGCTGTAAAAACGCTCTAGCGCGGTAAAACGCAGCAAACCGGCGCTTTTGGACTTTTTTTGACCAAAAAAATAATAATTTTTTGGTCAAAAAAATGCTAAAACCTGGGAAAATGCCACTAAATGCTTCTGCAAAAACACTACAAAAACCTGAATGGGGCTGCGGTCACCATGCGTACATTAGATCATGCATCACATGATCCTCTCTCAGGCTTCACCAGCTGCAGTCATGTGACTGACAATACTTTCAATTATATTGCTGGTTTCCCCAAACATTCTTTTATCACCAACATAATCAGTGCCATGTCCGCATGTCTGTGCAATGCACGGCTCCTGCACAGCAGAACACATTACAGCGGGGCTTGACAAATATTCTTTGAATCTAAGAGCCAGATAAAAAAAGTTAGGAGCCAGATTTTTTTTTCTAGCGTAGTGTGGGTTGTCAGCACCTGGGGCAAGGCGACTTTTGGACGACAAGCGATTTGCCGTGCGATAATCTCCACAAAACAGCACCACGTTTTAGGTGCCGTTGACAATAACAGTTACATAGTTAGTCTGGCTGAAAAAAGTCCATCCAGTTCAGCCATTAAAAAAATAAAAAGTTATAATCCGACACCCGCAGTTGAAAAAACAAATCCAGCAAAGCACGATCCATATTGCTCCTGCAGGGGAAAACAATTCCTTCCTGATCCCCCAAGAGGCACCTAATGGCACTTGAACCTGCGTTTCGCGATCACAGCGATTCTGCCGCAATCCCAGGTGTGAATGGAGCCACTTTGGGTCACACATCTGCGATTCTGGATGTGTTTTCCAACATGTAATAATAGTTACATAGTCTGGCTGAAAAAAGACAAAAAAGTCCATCCAGTTCAACCATTTAAAATAAATAAATAAAATCCTACACCCACAGTGGATCCA